AGCATAAAAAGCTCATGGTCCCAAAAAGAGTCCTTGGAATATCCTTTGGATAAGGAATGGCCAGAGTAATTACCCTGAGGGTAGATAGTTTCAATATTTAACTGTTACTCACTGTCTTTCAGATATTGAAGCCCCGTCTTTGCGAATGCGAGCAGTACATTTACTTTCTTTAACGCTGCTTCTAACTGAGTCATTGTATTGAAAGCTAAGAACGATATTGGCCCGTCATAAAGCTGCCTCATTCGATCTCTACTGAGGAAAGCTTCAGTTAGGGCTTCGATGAGTCAGCTCTGCCTCGTTTGAGCCATTGATTGATAACTTCAACTATCCACGTCAAGATTGAGAACGCCACTGTCATGCGAGTATACTAGTCAAAAGCGCCCGCCAAACATTCACATCTATCATCGACTCCACGATTCGTGTAGAGGAGGGGTTTTGCCAACTCAAAGCGTGGCGGTATTTGATAGCGAGAGAGTACGAAAAACAATGCTATGACGTGGAGGTTTAACAAGTTTACCTGTGTTATCAGGTAAAGTCTGCAATACATCTCTACACGAATCGTGGAAACGATCATAAGTGATTGGTACTAGCGACGGAGATGTGGCCGCACTTGTTAGATCTTGTTGGAGATCGTCAGTCTGCACTGTCTCCTCACTCTTCGACATGTTGAAATGACGTGTATCGTAAGTTACTCAGGAGTAACTTACGAAAATTTTCTCTGAATCTCCTCGTTAGCACACTATTTCGGGAGATCATCGCTCTGATGATCTCCCGTGGCTCAGCAGAGAGATGTCTTCCTGTCGAACTTGACCTGAGGCTCACATGTCAGGTAACGTTGCATTCTTATAGCATGCGGAAGTGGGCGGTCGTCATTTCACCCGAAAGAACCTTACATGAGGGCTCCACGGGAGGTCACCTCCCCTGATCGAGGCTTATTATGGACCATTGGGAGTTTATTCTAAATCAAAGCTACTCGGTGAAAGAAGTTGTTGCTTTGCAACAAGATTCGTGCCTTCCGAACTAAAAACAATCATTAGAAGAGGTCTTGCGTTCACTAGTAGTTTCATTAGAAGACTGGAAATGACTAGAAAATGTAGGTAAAAGTAAAAAAAAACTCTACGCGCAGATCATTTAAAAATTGACCTCTAATGTTGCAGTTTTTAGTTGCTGTAGTATTAGACTGGTGCAAAGTAATGCGCGTTCTTCTAGCTCTTGTTTCAGGACATTTTTCAATCAAACTTTTTCTTTAAAAAAACTTAGCGTACAGTTATGACTTTCTAAGTGAAAATAATTGGCGATGTTCGGCGAACTCGGCGACTTTGCGTTTTTCGCCGACTTTGGCGAATTCGCCGACATCGCCGAATTCGCCGAGAATCTTTACATTCCATTGTCACAAGACTTTTTCTTTCTCAGATGTCAGTCTTAGACTAAAATGAGGTATATATGGAGCACCATATATCGTGTGATCGTGTGTCGGTTTTGGGTTATCCAGTTATCCCGTTTCTCATTGTTCCACAAACTTCTTTATTATTCACTGTTCTTCATTAGCTCTTCTGGATCCTATCATTGTTCGGCTATTCATATTCTCTTACTAGCCGACATCCCTGGCCCAGCCCGGGGAGTGGTAAAACCGGCCTAGCATAGTTATCAAAGAGTTTCTTAACTCACAATTCGTCCCTTTCTCTTCATTCTTGGTTCTCGTAACCCGTAATTTCTTCATTCCTGCTTCTGCTCTTGGTTTGGATTTCAGTAGTCCTGGTACCCGCAGTAACCGTAATTGTCTTCCTTCTTGACCGCCTCGCTTCATGACGCCGCCTCCTCCTCACCGCAAAATGCAAATGATCTTTACCGCCTCTTACTACTTTACTTGGAGAAATGAATGATGTGCTTTCATTTTCCTGGATGTTAGTAAATAAATCAATAAATCGATAGAAGGCCTTAGCGAATTGCCACAAAAAGTTGCCTATCTTCTGCGCCGTGTCTCATTTATAGTGAAACAAAAATCAGCCTCTTTGGTGTACATACGAAGGAGTCTATAAAACTCAAACCGATCAACAAACAAAGGTACAGTGTTTGAGCTATATATACATATATATATATATACATATATATACAGTGACCGCCAAAAAGTTGCGGACAAGCCTCCCTCCCTTTTTCATCGTTCTTTTTCAGAAGGAAAACAAGGATAAAAAATGTATTAATTGCATGAGGTGATAGAGCTCTTCAAGATCTACAACCTGCACTTTGCGTTTTTCGAAAAACATGTATTCTAAGAATTTTAATATTTTTTTCTAAAAAAAGTCCGAAAATGGCCGCGTCACAATCTCGCGGACAATAATTCTTCGAACGCAAAAATTTTCTTTTGAGTCCTAGCGTTTGAGCATGAGTTTTACTTTGTTTTTTTTTCAAAAATAACTTCTAATTCTCCTTTTTAAGCCAAATTTCTTCACATGGAAACCTATTTACGACATTCCAACAACGCTCTTCGGTTAAAGAAGATGCTCTTTACCATTCTCCATGCATCTGACGTGTGCTGATGAGTCTCTTTGCTGAAAATGGCTCTTGGCAGTGCTTGCACATGACCCCACCTGCACCTCACCACTGACTTCTACCGCTTTGCAGGCTTCTAACTCGGCTTGTGGTCAATGTGTGAGCCTGCAATTAGGCTCATTCGAAAGAATGAGACTTCCTCTACACGAGGGTATGCAAAAGAGGTGGGTACAAGAAACAGTGGAGATTTGGCGGATGGGGTGGAAAAAAGCGGCCTCAGTGGTGGTTGGAGTGAAGGCTCTTATCAACACCAAAACAGTTCTAAAGCTTCAAAATGGATCTATTACAAGAACATTGACAGTTTTAGGCTTCCAGGATTGAACTGCTAGCAAAAGAAGCTCTATTTAACTTTAGCTGGATATCCTCACCCTACCACTGAGGCTGTGTTTTTCCCACCCCATCCGCCAAATCTCCGCTGTTTCTTATACCCACCTCTTTTGCATACCATCGTGTAGAGGAAGTCTCGTTCTTTCGAATGAGCCTAATTTCAGGCTCACACATTGACCACAAGCCGAGTTAGAAGCCTGCAAAGCGGTAGAAGTCAGTGGTGAGGTGCAGGTGGGGTCATGTGCAAGCACTGCCAAGAGCCATTTTCAGCAAAGAAACTCACCAGTACACGTCCGATGCATAAAGGGTGGCAAGGAGCATCCATCTTATCCAAACAGCCTTGTTGGAAGGCCTTGAATAGTTTTACATGTGAAAAAATTTGGCTTGAAGAAGGGAATTAGAAATTATTTTTTGAAAAGAAGAAAAACAAAATTCAAACTTGGGTTTTCTGGGAAGCAACCATAACCGGTGTGTAGTTCCTGACGAGCTCTGTATAGTAGTATGCTTACCCGTTTGGATTACTTGTGTTTCCGCTTCAGATAGGACTCAAAAGGAATTTTTTGCGTTCGAAGAATCATTGTCCGCGACATTGTGACGCGGCCATTTTCGGACTTTTTTTAGAATAAGTTTTTTAAAATTTTTAGAATACATGTTTTTCGAAAAACGCAAAGTGCAGGTTGTAGACCTTGAAGAGCTCTATCACCTCATGCAATTATTACATTTTTTTATCCTTGTTTTCCTTCTGAAAAAGAGCGATGAAAAAGGGAGGGAGGCTTGTCCGCAACTTTTTGGCGGTCACTGTATATATTATATATATATATATATATATATATCAGTGGCGTACCGAGGGGGGGGGGGGGCGCGCCCGGGTCGCGAAATTTTTGAAAGTTACTTATATGGGGACCCGCAAAAGTTTTGAGAAGCACCCCAAAAATTTTTTCGGAGTGCGTGGCTGACGCCACGCACCTTCTTTAGAAAAATTTTTTTGTCGCGCCCCCCCCCCCCGAGCCAAAATCCTGGGTACGCCACTGATATATATATATATATATATATATACATATATATATACTAGTTGGCTTTCCCGGTCCAGTCCGGGTCATTGGTCACCTGCAGCGCAAGCCCCCCCCCCCGTCTTCTTATATGTTATGGATCACTTACCCTAAGACACCGCTCCGAGACCGCATCCTCGTGATCCTAAGGTGAAAATGAGCTTCACCGCCCTCCTTTACACGACTATGGTAAAATGCTTGATTAAACATGATAAGCCCTCAATTCCTTAGAAAAGCATAAACAGATCAATAAATCGATAGAAGGACCCAACGAATCGCTGCGAAAATTAGCCTATCATCTGCGCAGGGGTCGAAAACATATGTGTGCAAAGTTTCAGCTGAATCGGTTGAGCGGTGCGCGTTTCTATAACGCACATACCCTCCAAACTGACAATTTTTGAGTTTTATATATATATATAGATAGATATATAGGTAGATTAATCTCTATCATTTACATGCTAGCTTTACTCAAGACTTATCATTCGCGAAAAACCATTTCTAAAGGTGTTCTGTTGAGTCAGTGGAATCTCTGTTTTGGACGGTCAGACCGTCACAGTTAGTCACCTTTTGATTTAGAGAAATCCTTGGAGTGGATCCGCATGCTTCAGCAAACTCTCTTTCTTTCTTTCTTTCTTTCTTTCTTTTTATCCCGTCACGTCTTGGGTGAGAGTACCAGGCTATTTTGGTGATCGGTAACAGCTCAGCTGCTTTCATCTATTAAGTAAATACCCATCTATCCCATTCCATTTCTGTTCAAACTTATAGTGATTGATACCATGAAGCTAGAGATTTCTTCTGCTTCCTGCAATTTCGTCAAAACTTATGAGCTTGTGTATGCGTCGCCAGGTATCAAGCTGGATTTAGTGATCGAAAGTTGGAAGCTTCGTTTTCAGAAGAGGAAAGAAGATCCTGACTGAGGCAGAACACCACTGCACAACATCACACCAGCCCAAACCAAAAAGTTAAGTTTTGTTGGGGCACTCCTTTGAAGCACTGCTTAGTATCACTGTCAGTGAATACAATTCGTACCAGTGAAATGCCGATATAAGTGAATTCGTACAAAGTTTATTTACCATTTATATCCCAGTATGCTGAAAGCATTCCCTAGAAATCAGTCGCTTGCACAACGATGATGTAGTATGCCATCATTTCGATAACCACTGTATGTGTGCCGGCACGGTGAGCAGGTAACCGTGGTCGAAGACATAGATGCGCTTATCGTAAGGATTGTAAGAGATCATGTTGGCATTGCGATAGAGGTTGATCCACTTGATGTTTGGTTTCGAGTACTGTAGTCTGTAGAAATCGTACCCAGTGGATATGTACGTTCTCTGTGCATGGCTGTCTTCGATCTAGATTGTAAAAAAATAGTAAACTTTAGTAACAATTAGTAGAAAATTGGCACCGTATAGAGCATGCCGCAAATCACAATTCCATTTGCAATCTGAGTGTGGTTGATTAGAGTAAGATTATGGGTTTCATAGATTGTTAGATTGTTTATGTCCACCTGAAAATTCTTTACAGTTTAGTAGTCGATGACTATCATGAATATCAAATCAATTCACTACTAATATCGAAGATAAAAAGCTCTTCACCTTAGCAACGCTCAAAAAATTCTCCTTTTCATAGTGAAACAAGATCCAGAGCGCATTCTCATCAATGGCAAGATCGAAATAGTTCATGGAATTGTTGAAAAGATACTGAAAATAAGATGTTAGTAATGGCGGTCCAAGAAGTTTTTTGTGAGAGGGGAGGTGGGACAGACACCCTCCGCAAAATTTTTTGGATACGTTTCGAATCTGCAATTTCAAATTTCCAAATTTTCAAAGAGAGGCGAACATCTTACAGAGCAAATTTGTATTTTTCATAGTCTTCGAAAACTGATTTATTTGTTCACAAGGAACAAACCTCTTCTAAGTTCTTATAGCTCCTGTGGCCAGTAATTCCCCTCCCTTCCCTCGGTCCCTTACTGGCTCGAGTTTTCTTACGAAAAAATTGATTTGAAAGTTCAAAGTAGGCCTTGCTGTCAGATTATTTGACTCGTTCGTGCTGTGTACGACGTGACTAGCGCTTGCAGCTGAGAAAGTCATCTTTACCAATTAAAGCCCTTAACACGTTGACGACAGTGCCGCGCAGTGGTGCGCGGCGGCCTTAAATTCAATACTATCTGTCCAATCCTCTCAGTTTTTGTTCATATAATCAACATAGCCTCAGATGCACTTCATGTATTAGTCCCGCCCCCTTTTGGCAAACCCCGCCCACTCCTATGCCTCTCACAAGGACCCTTTTTGTCCATAAAAAGCATGGATGAGGCTGTAGATGAACGCAAAGACCTCAAGCAACTTTTAGCCGGGCCCCGCCCACCGTCAGGCAAACTCCGCCCCCTAGGTGGCAAGCTCCGACTTTTCAAAAGTGGCGGAAATCGCATAAATACTTGAAATTTGGGCAATTTCCGGCATTTTTGGTCGAGTGGGCGGAGCTTGCCCGAGGGGGCGGGACTTGCACATTTTGTACTTCGTGCATGGATGCATTCATACATACTTGGGCCATGCGTAGGGATGCATGGAAACGTCTCGTCCACAGGGACAGACCTCAAAAAAAATGGCTCGTCGTCAACGTGTTAAGTACGGTACCAGGCAAGAGCTAAGAGCTAATTTCTTGGCAACGAGAGAATCATAAGAGCTGTCATTTGTTTAGTGACTCTGTTAAGTGCTTTAAATTATATTCAGGCAAAAAGTCCGAGTACCCATTGTCTTGAGACCCCTTCAGCGAGAGCATTCAGGAAATTGCAATGAAAAGCCATCGACAGCAGTTTTTCATATTTCCGTGCTCGAAGGCATGTAACTTACATTATTTCCATGATGAGCAGCGCCCTCAATCTCAATCTCGTCATAATGTCCACTGTTTAGGTTGAATTTGCCAATACGAGGAAATCCAGCTCTGTGGAAGAATAGTGACCCATTGAAGAGCACGTGGTTAGTGCCATCGAACACGTGCGGAAGACGATAGCTACAAAAATCGTTTGGAAAGCATTTCTTACAGGCAACAGAACATGTGGCTCAGAAATATTAAAACAACTCACACATTATTGATGTGTTCTCGACGTAGATCTGCTTCTGTACGGTATTCAACAATTTCTATTCCTTGAAAATGGTTAATTAGATAGCGTTTCAGCATGTCCTGCAATTTTTCCACATTTTTGATGCCCACATTCTAAACAACCAATATCTTACATCGCCTGTTCTTGGATAAGCATCCCTCATCCAGCTACCGTAATACGTGGTCGTATGCGAATGGAACACAGGTTTGCCCACCGATTGCAGCTTACAGTCTGTCATAGGTTTCAAAAATTTGAAGGAATTGATCGTTCATACTTTTCATTATCAAAGAGCGTATTAGACGTTTTTTGTGTAATTGCACCACTTTAGTTCAGGAGTTGAGACGGTGGCGCCAGGAAAAGAGGTTTTTTTACAGTAATTTGTGGGAGTTTTTGAGTACATTTTCGTTTACGTCGTTTCTAGCTACTTCTTCATTTATCACGGTGAGCCGTGTCGAAACAGTGGTGCAATTACACAAAGCTACCATTAGCATGAACACATATGTGATAAAAAACAACAAACGCGCGGTGGCTCCTTCAATGTAAGCAGACTCGGTCGAAGTTTCTACAACTTCTTCGAAACCCTCCAATCCGGTAATGTTGCCCAAACACATTTTCAAGCAAGTCTCGAACTCAGTACTGTTGTAGATCATCTAAGATGGAGATTCTGATTTCGCCTTTCATTTTTTCGTGACATGTCCTATAAGCTCTCATACATCTGCTATAGACGAAGGTAGTGCTTTGTCGATAAGGCGAGGCCCGATCAAATTGTCCAGCGAAGACCTCTCTGAGCATTTCATTTCCTCCACCTGAATACAACATTTACACCCATTCTTGCCTGAAGTGCTGCTACACTTTCACCTTTGGGCACTCGCCCTTCTCAAGCAAGTACTCCTCATTCACAGGACAATCTTCGCATTCTGCGTCTCTTCCGGGAGGTCCGGGTGGCCCTCGAACAGATTCTTTGTGTGTCGCAAAAGTCAATGTGATCTCAGTTGCAAACCTTGTGGTCCTGGAAGTCCAGGAATCCCCATTAGACCTGGCCTTCCGGGTGGTCCAGGCGAGCCGGGCTTGCTGCAAGGTTACATTGCTAATGAAAGAACTTACCATACTACCTCACTCACCCTGGCGGTCCACGAGGACCAGGTGGACCTGGTGGCCCTCGGTCTGAGCTGTCCAGGTCTGTGCAGTATTGGTGTATGTCAAGACATTTTTGCATAAGCTCTCCGATCTGATATCATTTCAGATGAGGGTCCAAATGCAAAAGATCGTAATCTATATATCTTGTAATAATTGCTGTGAATCTACTCCTTGTTTATTGCGTAATCCAAAATGTAGGGACTGCTTGCGATATGGTACTCAAAATCTCCCCATTGATTTATTTTCTACCTCTCTCCTCTTTCTGTGTAGCGTCAAACTCGTTTACTGAACGCACACTTATGAACAAGGAAAGATAAATCATAGACTAATCCCCGACTATTCAATTTCTATTTGGCACTGCCATTTTACAAGGCTGTTATTTTGTGTGATCGCAAATAGCACAAAATGCTACTAACCACAACCAACAAACCAATACCTTGACACGAGACATCGACGACATCCATAGATGATTTCCATTTGCTGATGTATTGACGATAATTTGCCTCTTCTGCCTACTATGGGTTTCAAATTCGATTTCTGTATAATTACGACATCTTCTTTCCACCTCGGCTATCCTGGAATCAGGGGCAGATGCAGATTCATCCATTTGAAATGTATCCGTAAAGTTGCCATGTTGGCCAAAAAACTTATACATTGTATGGAAGCAATTTTCTTTGTACATTTCCAAAAATTTCGCTTGATGTTTTGGCAAGCGTTTCAGATCCAGTAAACTAAAGAAACGCATTGAATGATGAGGCAGTTCATGCATGAAAAGCCTCATAATAGTTCTACAAGAAAAATCGGCGGTTTTGACAAAAAAAAAGTTTGCTGCAAATTGGAGAAAGAAAAGTTTCAAAAAAGCTTAGTCCACACACGAAATTTTGAGCTGCTTTACAACGCTGTGTTCGTGGCAACTTCTGCAAGCTAAGGTTAAAAGAAAGTCATGAACCTGGAAGACAGGAAGGAAGGTTGGTCGAAGTGGCCTTTTGAAGTGAGGTGTACAATGCCTTGTAGTGCTTGGAACGCTGATTCCGAATCCACCTTTGCTATCTGCTGCGGGCTTCTGAGCGAGGAGTTATGAAGGTTTTTGTGAGTAAAGATCTGGACGCAAAAATAGGATAAAATCAGTCGCTCGCTTTTCCCAATGTTCAAATGAGGCAGAAGCGAACTGGTACATTTGAATCAAGAATATACGTTGCACCGAGTGACCCGACTACCAATTTAGCCCTATAAAAAATGTTACGACTGATTTTAGCCTACTCTTGCAATCAGAATTTTACTCACAAAAACCTTCATAACTCCTCACCGGCCTGCAGCAGATAGATTTGGAATCAGCGTTCCAAGCTCTACAAGGCAGTATTCATCTCATTTCAAAAGGCCACTTCGACCAACCTTCCTTTCCTTGTAAGAGGGGAGCTAAAGTAAGGAGAAGTCAGGAGAATTAATTATGCCAAACACTTGCCAGAACAAGCGTTTTTAACTATGCTAATTTGATGAAGACCACATTATAGTATTTGATTTAGATGGGGGCGAATCAAACACATAGCCGTTCAAATTAAGAATCGATTACAAACAAGCTGCAGAAATCATGATCAACTCACCTAACATGGATATGAGCAAAAGCAATGATCGTTAGTAAAGCAAGACCGACATTTGGAGCATGAACGAGCGCGCTCTCCATGCTCGTCACAAGTGTAATGCTATCGCCATAAACACTGCAAGCTTTAGGCAAATGGATACAGTTTGCTCCTCGCGGTTTGAAAACGAGGGTGTCAAAGTTGAATAGGATACTTTCCTAACCATTATGACACATCAGTCAAAGCCAAATAATTTAGCTTCGCATCAGTCATGCTATATCAAGCTTTAGTCAAAGTTCAACTAGTAAATGTGGAGCTGAGCCGCTTACTAATACGGAAAGGCGCCAACTACCATGTTGCGGTATCACCTTCTAAATAGTGGATTTGTAAGGCGGTGCAGGGGAAACCAAAGGCCTGCCGCTTGTAACTGCAGGAGATAATTAAAGGCAGCGTACACCCAAAATTTGAGTTACCGAATTTCCTAGATCTTTCTACACCGTGTATATACTGGGCCCAGAAGAAGACCAACTGCGTTGGTCCGGTCTCCCAATGTTGCTTCTGAGCGGAGAAAACCCCCCTCAATTTTCTTTCACGCCGCCCCTTTTCTTTCGCTCCGCCTCCTCCGGACGAATCCATAACAGCGTAAGCTGCAATTGCAGTTGCAGTTGCTGTTGCAACATCTGTTGCATTTGTTTTGGGTGTACGCTGCCTTTAAGAGCAAGCGCTGTGGAGAACATTTTGGCACGGACCCAGGAAAACTTAGCCACATCCATTGGAAACAAACCCATATAACTCTGCTTAGATCCCTTTGAAAGATTTGAAACACAGGTTTGCAATCAACCCTGAAAGTCGCATTTTCCAGTATACACCTACGGTATGGATAAACAATTCTCTCTCTCACTATTTTGGCTATATTTTCAATTTAAAAAAAAGCAAAGTATTCTAGGTGAAGTAAAATTTTGAATTTCAGCATTAGCAATTGAGGAGTCTCAAATTCGGAGATGCGTGAAGGGGTTTGAGCAAATTTTTAACCGGACTTTTGGGACTTCAGGACTTGAAAGTAATTGCGATAATCAGGGAGTAAAGTTAACTGTTGAGTCGTGATAAACTTTTGCTGTTAATACACATCATTGTCCATTTCTAGAAATTCTCACAAAATTCTCAAATAGAACCAACAACAAGCTCAAAGTGATGAGGCGAACTGCAAAATTACACTTTCACAAGCCTCCAGATGTTTTTCTACGATATCAAATGGCAACTTGGTTGATTGACTTGAAAAAAAAAACTGCTCTCAATTCTAAGAATAAACAAACTCTGGGGAAAAATTGGTTTTTGAAAAATTGCACTCGAAAATATCACGATAAAGTGAGTAAAAAGTCAACAATTTTTCCATTATACAATATCAGATTTTGATTTACTGCACCCCCAGCACGACCCTTAATGCTGATTCCAAACTTGTGTTTTATATCTTTCAAGTTATCTCTAAGCAAGGTTATGACGGTTTATCTCCATCTGATATCCTTGCCGAATTTTCTCGATCGTTGCCACAATCTTCTCAACGGCGCTCGCTCTTCTAATTGTCTCCTGCGGTTACAGGCAACAGACCTTTGGCTCCTCCTGCACCACCCCCGATTTGAACGCATAATTTTCACCATCGATATCGAATGACATCAATTTAATGTTATTTTGATCCCACCCCCTCAACTATCTCGGGCAGATACCTATCTACAGGCTGTCTTTCCACATCTAGTTGTAGGGTAGTAGCGGACATTGAGATGCTCAAAACTAGCTTCATAATAACATTTCGCAGCTATGGACAACAAATTTGACATCGGGCTGCTTCCGAATATATGTCGTTTTTCACAAGGCCAAACTAATTGGGTGCCTTAACTTCAAGTCATCATTTTTAACTCTATAGATCGCTCTGGCAATAAATTGCGTTTTTAGACGACATTGGGTTTCGCTGATCTAGGTGTTGCTCAAAATTCGATCCCATTAATCATTCATGCCACATAAACTACGCCGGTCTTCCAATAGAGAAAAAAGCTAGTTGTAGACAGGTTCCACCATTTGTTCTCTTATCAAGCACTTAAACCAGTAAAACAACTTAGTTGGTAGCCAAATTTGAATAAATTCGAGTTGACAAAGCTCAAGAATTTTTTTGCCGTAGATAGGAGGGGGGGGGGGGGCAGGCTTGGAAATATGATTTAAACTTTTGCTTTCCGTGGTTCCAATGGTTTTACGGGGTGCTCTGAACATTATTGATGGTCATTTCCAACTAAGGAATTTCTGGATGAGGTAAATACGAGTCTAACAGTGCAGGGGCACCGACTGCTTTGAAGCATTTATTAGTGTATATAAGACTCATTCAGACTTTAGCTTTATGCATTGAATCTGATACATTCTTGAAGAAATATAGCCTGAGTAATGCAAAGGTATATATGCAAATAGAATACTCCTTGGCACAAAAGTGCTGCGTAATTTGTATGAATGTTATTGTAAGATGAAGTAAATTTGTTGCTCTTTACGTAATCAAAGGCATAGAAGGGCGCAGATTGTGCATCGCCCTTCCTCACTTCATATTTGAGATTAGAGCCATAAGAGACCAGAAAACAATGATAGCCATTTGAGCCGAAAATTGTGGGCGATGAATTTAGAATACAGGCTCGTCTCATGGTGCGAAGTAAGACTTATGCCATCTGTCAGTTAGTCAGGTCAGATAAATCGCTGACAACTCAACATTTATTCGCGGCTATTGAAGGACAACAAAAGAAGCATAACTTTCATGCACTTCTCCAATACTTTTCCACGTCCTCTATGCATTTCGTCATGCATTCCCCTTTGAATGCTGATTTGAATGCCTTTGGATTACGTTTACAGTAAGGTTCGCACTGTAAAATGAAGCGTTTTAGAAACAAGCCAAAACAAAGTTAGAAATGAACTTACCCAATCAGCGAACACCTTCAAGTCATCTTCTCCTCCAGCATTTGCTGCAGCAAATGCGAAAACCATAAGGAGAATATAGAACAAAGAGCGCAAATACATTGTTTGCTAGCTTGGAATTATCTATGCATACATTCAATTATACAACCTTATTCCTACTTCGAGTGTCGGACAGTCACGGCACACATAAAAGAGTATTTCCACTGTTACATTGTCTTCCAGATTATGTCTTGATAATGTATGACAGACTAGCTTTTGTCGACCAAATCTTCGAAACTATCATCTACAGGTAGTTGCTTGGTATATGTTGGTACACGCGTAAAATGTTGTAGAAGTAGTATGGTACCACAAGATTGGTCAAGTAATATGGCTCTCAGGAAACCGATATTTGTGCCTCAACTAGGATATCATTTAAACGGTACAATCATTCATCACGGTTGAGAGATTCATCAAGTCTTTCCACAGCGCAGCATTAGTGGACCATGCGTCGGTTTGCATGCTTTTGCTTTAAAGTCCACCTCGAGGTGCTTCGGAGCGCAACAGCGCGCAGAAAGATGCAAGTCGTTCGTAAAATACTGAGGACAAACTTGGCCATTAGTTTCTCACCCGTTTGTTATCATTTCATCAATCATTTCGGCTGCCACTTGGACAGTATAGTAAGCCTCAAAATTCGGATTGGCTTTGACATGCATATTGACTGTGGGAAAGCATTTTCCTTTTTTAACGCGTTGATGACAACGCGCATTTTTTGTTATCTGCTTTGTGGGACTGAAGTCCACGAATAATTTGGTAAAATCTGGCTAAAATCACGCAAGTAGTCATCTAGTATATAGTATTGTAGCCATATAGTATATTGTAGCATAGTATATATAGTATATTGTAGTCATCTACAATATATTCGAAATAATTTCAAGAAACAGCCAGCAAACGTTGGAGCAAGTTCTAGATTCAAGCGTAAGGGAACCTCTGAATTGGATGTAGTAGTCATTTCAACAAATTTTAAGCCATGACTCACCATGTGGGTCACATTGTCCGACATGGTGGGTTATTGTATGAGCATGTGGGACAATGTCGTCAAGGTTAAGTTGTAGTTTTTTCTTGGCATTTTACCTGCGAACTACTTGCAGAAAAAAATCAGCTTTCTCTCATTCTACATATCCTTCTCTTCTCACTTTTCCAAGGCAACCTTTACCTTTTATGTAAGGCAGAAATTCAAACCTTCACTTTCGTCTATCTTTCCAACTAAGCTCACGCCTATCTTTTGCTCTAGATGAAGAACATAGATTGCAAGGAAATTTTTGCTTGGTTTTGAGTTTTGGGTGAAGTAATTTGTTGAGAAGGAAACCCTCAGGGTGATGGCATGAGAAGAAAGTACTTACCTATGTTTACTCAAATGGTTTTCAAATACAGCGAAATCGTCTTCTGTGGCAACTTCAATTTTCAAAAGTTCATTCATAGGACTGTACTGTTGAAGAAAGAATATACTAAATAAGAGGAAAGATTCAACAGTGCTGTTCTCATTCGCAAAACCGTACATTGCTACTATTACTGAGGATACAAAGGCAATATTTGGGGGACTTTTGATTGCATCTGGCTTTATATAGGTTCTCCCTCTCACTAAATTGATGTAAAACAAAACTCGGTTTGTACCTAAAACAATAGATGTAAGTATAAGCAACAGCTGTGTGCTACCTGCTTTTGACATTGTTTAAACACTCAACGCTGTCCAAATATTATTGTTTAAAAGCATCCATGATCTATGACCTAATAATAACATGCTAAGAGCTGTTTGCGTCTGTTTGTCTGTGTGTCTGTGGGTACGTCTGTCTGTCACGAATTCGAATTGAATTTAGTAGAGCGAGTTGCAGCAAAGGTCTTGAACCAGAATTCTGGTCACAGCGCACTGTATGCATCTAGACAAATTGTGACGAGACCTTGATGTTATATAATAGTAGGGCCTAACTAAACAATCGCCAGTCTCGCTGTGAAAGATGAGTTTAAAGCGAGAACACCTCTGGAAGGGAGAAACAGCCAAGGTGGCTTGCCCATCGACGTAAGTGGTCTGAAGATCAAGGTCCGTAATTACGCTTCAGATTGGAAAAGATGTCGCATTTAATGATCATAATGGAGAGCGGGTTCATGACAGTCTCGGATACATCAAAGCCCAAGTTTGGACTTGTTATCTTGTATTGCTTTACTAAGCCCCTATTACACTGAGTAACCGAAAGCTGGCGCTTTGCATCCAGTTTAAGAAGTGATGTGGGCAGAAGGTAAACGCTGAAGAAGCAAGTAGGGTAACCGCATAGATAAAACAAGCTCTATGAGGCAGTGATATGATCGCGAAGTTTGACCAAAGTGGAAGCCAAAATTTGAAAGCTTCCAATGCGCAGAAAATTTCAAAAAATCGTAACTATATTCCGAAATATTCTGTGGATCTCCAACTTGCTCAAGCATCTACTCAAGACTGCATACTTATATACCCCCCCCCTTCCCATACAACAGTGGCGTACCTAGGATTTCCGTTCAGAAGGGGGGAGGCGTAGCCACGCACCCCGAAGAAAATTTTTTATGAGGCTAAAGTGAATTTTTGAACATTCAATTATTTAAATTATTTACAAGTATAAGGAAGTCACTTGCACATTTTATTCATGTAAGTTGTCAAAAATACGCTCATTTCTCGGGCGGAGAGGTGGGCGCAACTGCCGTATACCCACCATTATACCCATCCATACACCCAAACCAGTGGCGACCCAGGACTTCCGTTCAGGGGGGGGGGGGAAGCGACGAAAATTCCATCCCATATAAAGGTGCGTGGCATCAGCCACGCACTCCGAATAATTTTTTGGGATGCTTCCCCCGCCCACATGGGAAAAATGGGGAAATCTTGAAGGCTAAAATGATTTTTCAAAAAATTTTGGAAATTATTCTAATTATTTACAATTATGAACAAGTTGTTCGCACTTTATGACCCGTGTAAGCAAATTTCAAAAATTTTGCGACCCATTTTCGGGGTGAGGGAAGGCGACTCGATTAAAAATTGAAAAGCAAAAATACTACAGGGTGTCCCAAAAGTCCTTAAGCCTAACTTTTCAACGTAGTAACTTTGTTAGTATTCCTCGCTTTTCAGCCAAATTTTGCCTTTGAGTTCTTCGTCTAGTTGCCAATATTCGTCACGAAAATCATACCGTTTACAATGTACATTCTCGAGATATACTTCTTGAAGCGAACAATACTACAATCGTGAAGACAAGCCGAAGGAAACGCACCTTCTATTCAAATATTTACAGCTCTTTTGCCTTTGGAGCTCTTATGGACTTTCAAACTGCATTTTGTAGAGCTAGCTTCACTCTACATTTACAGTGCAAAATCAATCAATAGCCTTTGTTCATTAGAGTAGGATTAGGATACAAACACTGAAGTTGTGCCGTGTCAATGAGAAGGAAAAGTTCTCGGAAACAAAAACCTGGAAAAGCTGGAAAGTCCAGCACCGAATCAGCTTCAGTCACTAATTCTAGCTGTAAGCCCTGCATTTCCTACTGAAATACCACTTTAAAGTCACTCCCGGTACACCATAATGGCTGTTTTCTTGGTGTTCTCAAACACTTGAATGCTACATTTTGACACTTTTGTCAAATCTCACAGTTATGCTTCTCAGATTTACGTGCCTTCAATAACCGGGTCAAGAGGCCCTTGACTTTTCTTTGTGATCAGTAATGGAAAACAAGGTTTGCTCTATTCCATGCTAAATTTTGGACAGTCTGGATTGTTTGCTTCAAAAGATGTGAGACAATCTCGATGTCAACTACCTGGCTGCCATGGTGCATGCATTCCGCAAGTGTCTGAGAGCCTGTGAAAAGGCCAAAGGAGGGTTTTGAGAAATCCGAGTGTATCATGTTGTTTTGTAGGCTCTTCACAAATTCCCTGCTGAATTTCATGCTTCTATGTTGCTTCATGCATTTTCAGCGGAGGAAATACTAGGCTCAAAGACTTTTGGGACACCCTGTAGGTTGATGCAAAAGTTGTTTCGCACCAAATTCAAAAATTCATGACTTGTTGAATTCTCAACGAATTTACAAGAGCTAAATCTTGCCTGAACTGTTCGTTAACGTGTACAAGTGAAGGAGACAGAAGCTCAAAACCAAAATCACTCAAAATTTGAATTTTTCGTGTAGGGTCATAAAAAATCGGAAACTTGCAGCAAAAATCGGAGCAGTCGGTATTGTAGGTTCTTTCACAAGCTCTTTCCAAAAGTGCAAAGTTTGCGCCGATTGAGTGCCTCTGTGAAAAGTTATGATTTTCGAGCAAGCAATACAAAAGGGCGAATTTGATTTATTTTTTATTTTGGCATTTTTCAGGAAAATCGTAACTTTTCATAGAGACGCTCAATTGGCGCAAACTTTGCACTGTTAGATAGAGCTGGTGAGAGGACCTACATTACCGACTGCTCCGATTTTTGCTGCAAGTTTTCGATTTTTTATGACCCTACACGAAAAATTCAAATTTTGAGTGATTTTGGTTTTGAGCTTCTATCCCCTTCACTTGTACACGTTAACGAACAGTTCAGGCATATTTGCAAAGAGCATGAGTTTCTTTCTTATACAAGATTTAGTACTTATAAATTCGTTGAGAAATCAACAAGTTATGAATTTTTGAATTTGGTGCGAAAGAACTTTTGCATCAACC